ATGTCAATGGCTTAGTGGACAGGCCCAGGGCCAGGGAAATCTGATTTCAAATTCCAGATGCATTATTTATTGTGTGGTCTTTATAAAGAAACCTCTGGCATCTCAAAAATAAAAATCTTCCCAGGATTTTAATAGAGAATCTCCCAGTTAAACAGCCAAGTCTTTGCATTTTACCTCCCTCTGGGGGCTGTATCTCTCATCAGTCTTTCCTGGCCCTACCTCCTCCCTAATGGATCATCTGCCCCTTATGTGTTCTCCCTACCATTCTGAAGCAGCTAGTCTGCAGAATGGCTGTCAAAGAACCATGCCTTCCTTGTATCCACACCTGTATCCACCTCCCTTCTGAACTTAGCCCGGAATGACCCTGAGACTCACGTTGCCAAAAGAGTGTGGCAGAAGTGATATGTTAGTTCTGCGCCTCAGCCTTAAGAAGGCCTAGCGGTTTGTACCTTTGTGTTCTTAGAAGTCAGCCACTACATAAGGACTCCAACTAAGCTGCTAAAGAGAAAAGCCACACGGAAAGGCCCTGGAGGATGAGACACCACCTGAAGAGAGAGGCAACATGGAAGAGCACCCAGGCACTAGGCAGGTAAGTGAAGATGCCATTGTGAAGGCTACAGCGTGGTTGAGCCTCAGGACTCCAGCCCCAGTCACCATCTGTGACTCCAACTACATAAGAGATACCAAAAGAGACCAGCAGAAGAACTGTACTGCTGAGTCCTGTCAACTCAAACAACCGTGTAAGATAATAAATCGCTGTTTTGAGACACCAGGTTTCAAAGTGGCTTGTAACAAAGCAATAGACAAAACATCACTCTCTCCCACAGCCATTCCTTATAAACTCCTGAAACATGATCACATGAACCCAAAATGAGAGAGCAGAGGAAGGAGAGGAGTTCCAGTTCAAGGACTACCCTTTGCAGCCATTCTAGCTGCTTAGCAAACAGTGTCATATTTTGCTTAGGCCTCTGAGGTCTAGACCTTCCAGCCAGATCCTGGATTCAAAAAGCAACACTTAGTTCAAGTAAAGCTCTTTTTTGTTTGCATTCCCATCTTATTATCCCCTAGAATTATTTCCCAAAAGTTCTGGGAGTTTTTTGTTTTGTTTTGTTTTGTTTTTTAGAGACAGAGTCTCACTTTATCATCCTCGGTAGAGTGCCGTCGCATTACAGCTCACAGCAACCTCCAGCTCTTGGGCTTAGGCAATTCTCTTGCCTCAGCCTCTCGAGTAGCTGGGACTACAGGCACCTGCCACAATGCCCAGCTATTTTTTGTTTTTTATTAAATCATAGCTGTGTACATTAATGCAATCATGGGGTACAGTGTGCTGGTTTTATACAATTTGAAATATTTTCACACCCTCCCCCTTTTTTTTGGCTGGGGCTGGGTTTGAACCCACCACCCTCAGTATATGGGGCCAGCGCCCTACTCACGGAGCTGAAGGTGCTACCCAGTTTGGGGAGTTTTTGAAGATGCTTTATAGCATTCTATAGGGATCTAATTTTTTCTCTCTAGCCAAGATGAGAGCAGGCTACAAGGAATTCCTGGGCCCTGTCAGGCCTTCCAGCCACTAGACCTACCCCGCCATTGGATCTGTCCTGGTACCATACCTGACTCTCCAAATCTTCCCTAGGATGGAGATCTGGGCTCCCTCCTTTATCTACCTTCCCCAGGAACTGTTTCTCAGCTTCCATGCACCTCAGACAGCTGGTGGAAATCTCACATGTGGGGCCCTCAGGCCTATGGAGATTAGCCTGGGTCTGGCTTGGGGCTGGCAGAATATTTTCCTACAGCTGAGAGCCCTGATCTCAGGTCTTTCCCCCAACCATATCTCTCAAAAGATGTTAGAAGACCTTTACCTCTTCATGGCTGAAGAAATCTTCATGAAAGATTTTTCTAGCTGCTCCTACCTGAGGGTCTTTACATCTCAACAGCCAGCAGTAGGGCTCGGCTAAAAGGCCTCATCCCTGTTCTGTAAGTAGCTGGTTCCTGTCTCCTGGCTCCCCTTAAAGGGCTGTACCACCTGCTGAGTAGGTAGGACCCTTGTGGCCAGCGTCCCTGGGCCTACCATAGCTCTCCACACTTCTCCACTTGTGCTGAGGTTTTCCTGTGAACCAGGCCTGTGCTGCACCATTTCCCCATTTCCTTAGAGTCTTAATCAAAGAGATTTCCCTGATAACACAGACCTCCACCAAGACAGCCTCCTCCTAGGACTGGCTGGCCACCAGGGCAGATCTAGAGGCCTTCTGAAAGTCAGCTTCCACGCCTCTCCACAGCATGTGCTTCCTGCAAAGCCAGGATCTCATAGTTCCCCTTTTCTTCTTCATCTGCACAAGAAAGATATCCTCAGGGAGTGTCCATTTTGCACAGTTCTTGATTTTACTCTTTCTATGAGAGGGCAAAAAGTCTACTTGAATAGGAAGTATGCTGGAGGCACCATGTTCAGCGGTGTACCCCCTGTCCCATCTCTCTGCCATGGACTGGTATCATCCAGCTGTCAATACTTGTTTGCCCAACAGCTTCCCTAGCTGACGTGGTGCCAGGCACCCCACTGGCTGGCCTCCCATGAGGTTTACCACTTCGAGCACCCATGGGCCCCATCTCCAGTTTCATGATTCCACATGCTGGCCAGCTACCCACCTGCCTGGAGAACTGTGCATTCTCTAATTAATCGAGTCCATGCTTGAGGACTTACCCCCTCCCTAGGGACTCTACCTGCATATCCTCTATCTATCCTCAACCCTCAGCCTCGAGGTCCATCTTGCTCATGTAAGAGGTTCCCAAATATGAAGCATCTAACGATCCTTCCTATTGAAACTACATCTGCTCTGTTCCTGAGAAGAGCTCTATTAATTACTTAGGTCACAAGGTTCAGGCCACCCCAGCTGGCTCCGAATGAAATCAAACTTCAGGGTTAGCAGGGGAGGTGCTCTGAGTGGTCCAGAAGGCACCTCATTTTAGCCTCCCCCAACATGCTGACCTCAGGGGCAGTGGTTGCCCACTCACTTGACTTCTAGCACAGTTGAGCCCAGGCTATCATGTTTACAAGAGGCACAGGGGGTGAAATTCAGCCATCCGAGCTGCTAATCAAATAAGCAAGCATTACTCATTGGGTACCTGACCACCTCTCTCGTATTCAGTTTGCTTATCTGTAAAACGAGGAATGTACCTGATCTTTCATAGAGCTGTGAGTAGAATTGGAGGTCCCACTTAGGAGTATACTCACCCTCATGGGCACTTCTGTCGTAAGCTACTAGTCAAGAGTGGTCTGAGAGGTCCTTAGTCACCAAAGATTTCCTAAGCATGGTATATGCCAGGGAATGTGACTGGCACACCCAAGACTGTCCAAGAAAGCTATTCATTCTGCTTGTCCCCAGGGCCTGTTCCATCCTTCATTCCCCCCACCCAAAGAAAAATCAGAGCCACTCCACTCTGACCTACACCCACCCAGCCTCATCCTGACCCAAAACACATCCTGCTGAGTCCAGCCAGAGGTACTGCTCACCAAACAGACATCCACCAGCCAAATTTCCATATCAGTATTTCCTGGAAAAATGTGGCCACCAAAACAACTCCCCAAATATATATCTCTCCTGGAGCTTTTGAGCTAGAAACAAGGAGGACTCAGGTCTTCTATAAGCAATCCATTCTTTCTTTCACATCTGAGTCTCAGAAAAGGCTTGGGGACAGCCAAGCTGCAGAGCACTCCTGAGGAGCCTCTCCCGCAGACACAGGCCGTCTAGATTACAGAACCAAGAGGGTTCCAGGGACGTACTCCGCTGACAGCCCATGAAAGCTCATTCCAGCAGCCCCAAACTTTGCTCAAATGCTAATCCATTCAGGAGGGATTTTGCTGTTCTCCCCCGGCCTGAAAGACATGCACCTTTCTAAGGCCAGGCTCTGGTTCTAACAATGGTGCCACAGGGTACTCCTCAGGCAAACTCGCCCTATAACCACCTCAATGCCTATCTTTCTTTTTCCCCTGGATGAGCTGCTCAGAGCATTTTCCGTCAAAATTTGCTACTTTGTTCTTTGTGAAGTAGGTCAGGGATTAAATTATAAATAAATTCCTTCTTATGATTTGGGCAGTGTGTTACCAGAATGTTTATGTATACTTAACACAATTAAGGGTAACTGCTAATTTAGTCTTTACAAAAATCCTAGGGACAACCTTTTAATAAAGGGGATGTCCTGTAAGGTCACTCCTCTTCCCCTCACCCAACCCACCAAAGGACTTTAGAAACTTCACTGTGGTCATGAGCCCAGTGATTAGAGGACAGCGAGGCCTCACAACTGTCACCCAGACAATAAACAGCCAGCAGACTTGGCTCAGCAGGTCCTGTGCAACCCTGGGGCCGGGCCAGAAGCCCAGAAACAAGCCACTTTCAGGTTTGGAGCTTTAACCTGGGGGAGCTGGACCAGGGGAAGGAATGATGTTTGGCTGGGGCTGGGGGCTCTCCGAATCCAACCTGCTAAAGGGGCTCAGACTGTGACAAGCAAGTGGGCGGCTCGGGGGAGGCCAGGCAGCCTGACCCGGAGCAGTACTGCCGGTCCATAGCCCTCAGGCTCTGGGCTCCCGGGTGGTGATGAAGAGCTGTGGAGCCAAGTCGGTGCCACTTCTCAGCTCCCCGAGCCTCCGTACATCTTCCCAAGCCCGCTGGACTCGCGGAGCCCTTCCCCAGCCGCTGCCACGCGCCCGCCCGCCCGCTCTAGAACTCTCATAGGCAACAAGTTCTCGCTTCCTCAAAGCCGCCACGATGTGCTCGGGAGGCCCGGAGCAAGGGGGACACTCCCGGCGAGCCCACGCTGCCCACGCCCCGAGGGGCACCCGAGGTCTTCGCCGCCCCCAGAAGCCAGGAGCTACAGGTCGCACCCGCAGCGAAGGCACCAGGAGTCCCCCTCGGACAGAGATGCTGCGGCATCCTAGGTGTGGCAACAGGTACGAGAGCGCACGGAGGACCGCAGCCCTGGGGATTCCAGCCCGAGCTCCCGCCCCTTACCTCCAGCAACTGCACATAGCTCGCCGGGAACCAGCCGCGGACCCCGTCCTCCTTCTCTCCTTCCCACCAGCCGCCGTCCGGGACCTGCAGCAGAGTAATCAGCTCGCCCGCGACGAAGCGCAGTCCTTGACCATGCCTCTCCCCAGAGAAGGGGTACAGGGTCCGGCAGCGGGTGCCGGACATGGCCTTGGCGCCCTGGTTCACAGCGCAGCATGCATCCCTGCCGAGCCCCGCGGGCTGGGCAGCGGCTCCGCGGGCTCCCAGGCGCCCGGCGCTCCGGGCTCCCGCGCTCTGGGCGCGCGCCGTCTCGGGGGTGCGCGGGGGTCCCCAGGCAGCCAAGGGACGCGCGCTCCGCTCACAGAAGCGGGGACTCGCTGGCTTCAGAGAGCTACTGGCGACGCCTCCGGGCCGGGCAGCTAGCAGATCCAAGCTCTGGGCTGGGGGGCGGGACTCAGGGGGAGGAGACCCAGGCACCGCGGGCTCCGGAGACAACTTCGCGGGGACGCCGAACGCGAGCTGCAGCCGCGAGAACTGGCCGGAGCCCGCGCGCGGAAATGCGCAGCTCCCTTGAGAGGTGGGACCCGGAGCATCCCCCTGGGCAGGACTCCGCGGCGAAGCGGGGAGGGGCCCGACTACGCGGAGAGGGGGCTGGCGGCCGGGTGGCCTGGCGGGGGCTGTCTCGCAGGCGAGGGGGCGGGGCCAGGGCGGCCACGCCCACCGAGGGCCGGCGCTCCCTCGCGGAGGCGGCAGGTCCTGGGTGAGAGGATTCCCTCTCACACCCCCACCACCGAGGACCTCGGGAACGTAAACGCCACTCCGACTGTTTCGTAGGGGAGACAGGCAGAGGGGCTAGCCGGCACCTCCTTCGCGGTGTCAGTGAGAGAATGTGTTTCTGGCTGTCATTGTAGTTGTTGAACCTGGGGTTGAACTTGACTCACCCACCGGAAACTGAACAATGGTTGAAAGACAGCTTTGAAGCCTGGCGCCTGAGCCGGCAAGCTAGGTGAGAAGCTTGTAACAACACCAGAGGGACTGAGCAGGGAGGAGACAGAGACCGAGTCGGTAGAATGGGGATAAATGAAGGAAAGGCGAACTGTGGCTTGAAGGACAGCCAGGGTACTAGACCTCTTGAAATAGGAATTGGCCAACTGAGAAGTCTACACTTATTTGGTCAGTCAACAAACATTAGCAGAAGGCTGCCGTGTGTCCGTGCAATGTACCAGGTACTACAGAGATCATATGGACATATGGACAAGCCCCTTCTCTCCAGAGACCCGTGGACCTGGGTGCTGAAGAAAGTCGACTGTGAACTGATGGTGCGCAAGGAAAAGAAAGCTTAATTTCTTTGCTAGTCTACTCCATACGAAAAATTAAAGTACATTTTCTAAACTGTAAATAGCTGGACCTTTTAATTTCTCTGTATACCTCTAACTGCCTATTTGTGCTCCTTGCTCAGTAACCTATTAAGGCTCCCTATGGCCTATTAAATTCGGGACAAACTTCTCAGCCTATGGGTTTCAGGTTCCCCCACAATACCTTCTCTAGCCTCCTCTTTCACTATGCCTGTCCATTACAAAACCAGTGGGGCTGGCCTCCAAGAGCCAGAAGACCTCATATGCCTGTCTGTCCTTTGAATCAGACCTTGACACAGGGCCTTTCACCTCATTCAGTGGTTCTGAATTCTGGCTGCACATTAAAGCCCCCTAAATAACATTTTAAAAATACTCATGCCCAGGCCAACCCCAGTTTTGAGAGGCAATCTGCATTTAAGTCATTTCATCTGAGCAGCCTCAGCCTGGTCTCTCTGGCCATGAGCAAGGTGACTAATGCAGATTATTTGTAATACTCCATTGATTGCAAATTCACAAACATTTGCTAGGCCAGAAACATGAGAAAACAGATTCTTAACCACAGTCACCACCAAGAGTCCCTCAGAGTAGAGCCGCACAATTTGATGTTGAAAGCGGTCATTAAAAGTAAGTGGCCTAATCAAGTTTTAGAAGGAATGCAATTCCCTGTATCAGGGAATACATAACTTACAGCAGGATGTCTTCAGGTTTTATACCTGACTATGTGGCCTGCATAGAGCAGAACAGCTGATCTAGGGCCATCCTGCAACCCAGAATTCTCTACAGCACCTGGGAGCAACTTGTGATCCAGTTTGATCTATGCTTGAGCTCCAAATGACTCACTCCAAACATTCTTGCCCCACTAAAATGGATAATGGCTATCAATTTCTTCAATTATTTCATTTTGTTCCTACAGTCCTGGGAGATAGTGGGACTATTGCTTCCAGTTTACAGGTGAAGAAACTGGGCCCAGCGGGTGTGACTTGCTTACCATCATACAGACAGATATAGCAGAACCAGGTTTGAACTCAGTTTTGACTTCTCATGCATTTGAGTTCTGCTTCCTCTAATCTACCCTGCCAGATTCAGGAACTGTGTATCCTTGGCTCACTCACAAGTAGCATCTTAAGAAAAGGCTTTCTGGTGATCCCCAATGTCAGTCTTGACAGAAGCTAGACTAGACTAGCAATGAGTGGAACTCCTGTCCCTGATCTCTTAGAAAGATAGATCTCAGCTCGGTGCTTGTGGCTCAAGTGGCTAAGGCGCCAGCCACATACACCTAAGGCAGCAGGCTCGAATCCAGCCTGGGCCCACCAAAACAACCATGACGGCTGCAACTAAAAAATAGCCGGGCGTTGTGGCAGGTGCCTGTGGTCCCAGCTACTTGAGAGGCTGAGGCAGGAGAATTGCTTGAGCCCAGGAGTTGGAGGTTGCCATGAGGGGGATAGCTTGAGGCTCTGTCTCAAAAAAAAGAAAGAAAGAAAGAAAGAAAGGTCTCTCAATAATTTTGGGTCTGTTTCCGCATCTGTAATTGGGCCCAATAACTGAAATACAGGATGAGAGATAGTTAATGTAGCTAGTCATTAAATGTATTGGCTCTGGAATACCTGTATTCAAACCCCAGTTCTGCTGCTTCCTGGCTGTGTGCCTTTGAGAATGTACTTTACCTCTCTGAGCTTCATCTTCTACAGCACTAAAATAAGATGATAAAGCAGGTTGGTGCCTGTGGCTCAAAGGAGTAGGGCACCGGCCCCATATAGTGGAGGTGGTAGGTTCAAACACACCCCCAGCCAAAAACTGCCAAAAAAAAAGATGATAACACACATATCTACAGTGAAATTATTCTTGACAAAGGTGCCACAATTATACAGGGGAAAAGGACAGTATCTTCAATAAATGGTGCTGGAAAAACTGTATATCCATATGCAGAAGAATGAAATTAGACCCTTGTCTTTCACCATATACAAAATTAAGTAAAAATGGATTAAAGATATAAATCTGAATCCTGAAAGTATGAGTCCACTAAAAGAAAACATTGGAAAAACACTTCAGGACATTGGTCTGGGTGAGGACTTCTTGAGTAATACCCCGAAAGCATAGGCAAGTAAAGCAAAATTGAGCAGGCCAGGCACAGTGGCTAACCCTTGTAATCCTAGCACTCTGAGAGGCCAAAGCAGGTAGATTGCTTGAACTCGGGGGTTTGACCAGTCTGAGCAAGAGTAAGACCCCATCTCTACTAAAAACACAAAAACTAGACAGGCGTGGTAGCAGGCACCTGTAGTCCCAGCTACTCGGGAGGCTGAGATAAGAGGATCTCTTGAGCCCAAGCATTTGAGGTTGCTATAAGCTATGATGCCACAGTACTCTACTGAGGGTGACAAAGTAAACCTCTGACTCATAAATTAAATAAAGTAAACAAATAAATATATAAAGCAAAATTAGACAAATGAGATAGCATCAAACTAAAAAGCTTCGGCAGAAACAAGGAAACAACCAACAAAATGAAGAGACAACCCACAGAATGGGAAAAATATTTGCAAATTACCCATGTGCACAAGCAACTAATAACTAGAATATATAAGGATCTCTAAGAACTCAGTAGGAAAAGAAATCAAATAATTCAATTAAATAATGGGCAAAGGATCTAGATCAGTGGTTCTCAACCCGTGGGTCACAACCCCTTTGTAACAATGAAAATACATCGCAGCATAGGAGGGTTGAGAACCACTGATCTAGATAGACATTTCTCAAAAGAAATGGCTAACAGGTGTTATGAAAAAATGCTCAACATCATTAGTCATCAGAGAAATGCAAATCAAAGCTGCAATGAGATATCATCTCATCCCATTTAACAAGGCTTTTATCAAAAAGACAGGAAATAATGAATGCTGGCAAAGATGAGAAAAAGGGGACACTCTTATACTGTTGGTGGGAATGTAAGTTAGTGCAACCACTATAGAGAACAGCATAGAGCAGGCGTCCTCAAACTACGGCCTGCGGGCCACATGCAGCCCACCTAGGACATTTATCCGGCTCGCCAGGTGTTTTTGCCGCTGCTGCCTGTCCTGCTTAGCAGCCATCTCGTCTTGGGCCCTGCAGTCTGGCCCTCCAATGGTCTGAGGGACAGTGAACTGGCCCCCTACTTAAAAAGTTTGAGGACCCCTGGCATAGAGGTTCCTCAAGAAACTCAAAATAGGCTCGGCGCCTGTGGCTCAAGCGGCTAAGGCGCCAGCCACATACACCTAAGGTGGCGGGTTCAAATCCCCAGCCCAGGCCCGCCAAACAACAATGATGGCTGCGACCAAAAAAAAAAATGGCCAGGCGTTGTGGCAGGCGCCTGTAGTCCCAGCTACTTGGGAGGCTGAGGCAAAAGACTCACTTAAGCCCAGGAGTTGGAGGTTGCTATGAGCAGTGATGCCACCGCACTCTACCCAGGGCGACAGCTTGAGGGCTCCGTCTCAAAAAAAAAAAAAAAAAAGAAACTCAAAATAGAATTACTATATGACCCAGCAATCCCACTGCTGGGTGTATATCTGAATGAGGAGAATTCAGCATCTCAAAAAGACATCTACACTCCCATGTTTATTTTAGCCCTATGCACAATAACTGAAATTTGGAATCAACCTGAGTGTCCATCAATATATACACAGTGGAATGCTATGTAGCCACCATTTGGAACAATATGGATAGAACCTGATGACATTTCATTAAGTAAAATAAACCAAGCCCAGAAAGACAAGTATCACACATGTTCTCACTCATATGAGAGAGCTAAATATTAAAAACATGGAGACAGGGTGGCAGCCCCATATGCCAGAGGTGGTGGGTTCAAAC